TAACAGGACTGAATATGTCTGCATTAGGGTTTAGCTGCCGGGTCTGGAAGGTGCTTGCTATTGTCTGGGCTGATTAAGTCGATGGTTAATGTATCTTCCTTGTGTAAAAGACAATAAATCATCCTTTAATGTATTTAATTCAATTTGAAATTTACTAATGTTTTCCATTTGTACTTCTTGCCACTGTTGTTGACTTTCTTGTAGTTGCTGCTGACTTTCCTGCAACTGTTGGAGACTTTCTTCCTGTTTCCTTTCTTGTTCCAGTTGCCACTGCTGTAATCTCTCTTCTTGTTTCTTTTTTCGTATTTCTTGTTTCTTTTCTCGTTCTTTTTGTTTCTTTTATTTTTCCTCCAACAACTGCTGTAATTTTTCTTCTTGTTTCTTTTCGGTTTCCTTCAACCACTGCTGTTTATTTTGCTGTTCGAACTGCCACTGTTGCAGGTTTTCTTGCCACTGCTGTTGTCTCTATTCTTGTTTCTTTTCTTTCTCCTCCAACCACTGCTGTAGTCTCTCTTCTTGTTTATTTTCTCATTATTCTTGTTTCTTTTGCTGTTCTTGTATTGCTGCCACCAAATCTGCTAAGCTGTAGTTTGATTTGCCGCTTCTCGTTTCCATCGTCTTCTTCTTCTTCCTTTTTTTTTGTCCCACTCTCTGACACCAGTTTGTTACGTCTGTGGTCGTTAGTTAATTTCCCGTATGATTTCTTTCCGATGAAACTTTAGCGACACAAATCCTTTCTAAAATAAAACTAGTTTATTCTTTCTCAATACAACTTTGAAATTCACTTAATTTCCACGGTCACGCTATAACAAACGCTATAATTCACAATGAACGACACACGCGCTCGACCCAACTGTCCGTCTCTATCTCTGTCTGCAATTCAACTACATTGTTGCTGTCAGTTCTTGGCGGTCTTATATACATCTAGTAAACACTCGAGGCTTCAGAAGGGACATGATTTTTCTAGAAGCTCACGACGTGTTAATAGGGTCACGTGACTTCCGCTGTCGTAACAGTATCAAACCCTGGCCAAGACTTATTTATTTATTTACTATTTTGTTAAGTTATAAACTTTGTCTTCCAATTGTTCGAAAGTTTCATTTTGGATTTTTGTGGTTGTTTAATAAAAGTTCAATAAATTCATTTTTTTATTTCATTATAATACATGAAACTCATTTCATTTGAGAATACATTTGGGGTTAAACAGGTCACTTTCAATGTTATCATTTTAACATTGATCTTGTCCACACAGAAATAATACATTAAAGTCAAAATATTCAAATTGAATGATAATAATGTACACGGTCAGCCAAACATGCTAAAAAGCTTGTTTGTTTGCTTTATGAGATATCTACGCTGTGCCCACTGCGGTTATAGAAATCCGATTTTTAGTTTAAACCATCAAGTTTACCGTGAGCTATTGTGGGTTGCTAAAATAACTTTTTATAATTATATTTTTTGCATATCTAAAATATTTTGTACATAACAGTACCATCTCCTGACAAAATCATAAAAGAAAGTAAATGTCCACTATTTATTAATATTATTATTTTCTTTTGAGTCCGTTTATCTGAAACTGGTGTTAAAAATCCTTTTTTTTCTGTATAGTTCAATAACATACTAATTTTTGGCTACTGATTTCAAGTCTTGCCAGATCTCCTTTGTAATTTACCTTGTTTTTATGGTGTTCGTTGCAATCTTCAGCACGGATATGATTTTCTTTTACGCTTTTTCGCCGCTGGAAGGCTAAGATGGAGGAAGTAGGATGAGATATCATCTCGAAAGTGATTTTTAAGTAACCTCATGTTTGTATTTTCTCTATTTCCGTCTGTTTAATGGTAGGTAAGTGAGATGTATTACTTAAATGACCAAACAATACATTATGTAATTAAGCCGTCTATTCTTTTATATGTTATTTCGGAAAATGAAATGTCAGTGAAACTAACGTGGACAGATTACGAATACTATAGTATAGTATGATATTAATAATACTAGTACTTGCTGCAACAGTACAAGAATTATCTGCTGTGAATTTGGCAACTGAAGTAATTGGAAATACTTATCAAATATTGATTTCTTTAAATCTTAAATGTTCAAGATAGTTAAGTTCTTTAAGCTTAAGGAGTGGGTGGGAAGGTGACTCAGAGTAAAAAACCGGGTTAACTCACAAAGGGTATAACTAAAAGTAAAAGGTTTTTCTTCAATTTTTACTAATGAAGATTAAAACAGCATTCCCAATCCTAAACAGTTGGTAGATGGGAACAAGATGAACACATTGATTTTGAGCTTATAAAAAAGATTTGGAAGATTAAAGAATGTTAAAGATCCTAGCCCAGATAATATTTACACAAAGGTTTTGAAAGAGGTTAACGATTAGATACATGAGCCGTTTGCTATTATTGAACAGTGGGCATATTCCAAAAGATTGGGAGAAGATAAAAATTGTCCCAGTAATTATAGGGCAAATAGTAATAGTATTACATCAGTGGTGGGGAAAGTTTAGGAAAATCTAATAAACGATGCTTTGCCCCTGAAGAAGAAAGGTCCATCTTTCGAAATCGTTTGGGTTATAGGGTTTTTATTCATTTGTAACAAAGTGTTTTGCAAAGCCATTTAAGGAAGTTTAATGTTTTGTTGGATAGTCAGCATGATTTCACTAGGAGAAAATCTTGCCTTCATAATCTTTTGACGTTCTTTGAAAAGGTTACTGCTTATGTATATGAGAGTATGGAAATAGATTTGATAAATCTAGATTTTCAGAAAGCATTTGACAACGTGCCATATAAAGGGCTTATTAAACAAATTATCTCTGTAAGTGTGGGGGATAGGTTGACTCACTGGATAACCAACTGGCTGGATGGAAGAATGCAGAGGGTTGTTATAAATGGAATTAATTCAAACTGGATTAATGTCACAAGTGGAGTACCTTAGGGCTCAGTGTTTGGACTTTGCTTTTTTTTATTTATATCAAACAAGCTGAGGTACCTGTCCTTTGTCTGGGTTATGAACTTAAAAAAATGTGGGGGTGGATGCTATGATAAATAAAACAAGAATCCTAACTTTCATACAATTTATTTATAACATAACATATTATTATAGTGTTCATTGTTATCTCACCAAAAGTTTTATATAAGCTTTAAGAACTCACTATGTATATACTTAAAACATGGTATACAATGTACGATGGTCAGAATGACTTTGTAAAAAGAGGTAGCAGTCAAAGTAGTGGCAGTAGATGTGCTTTCTGTTACCTGCTTTCAACACCCAGCTCTTAATGTCCTTCCACACTGTTTCATGTTATTAGTTAATTTACACTCATTGGCCACAGAAGTGTCTTATGGGCCGAAGTTGTATGGTCATGGGTCAAATCAGGGAGTGGGTGCAACTCAGGAAATGGCTCTTTATACCAGCCTTATGGTGGCTCCATTTTCAGAAGTTGTCTGGAAGGCTCTATTGGTACCATTAATTTTAAGTTGGCCATAATGCATCTTTCTTCAACTGGATGTGCCGCCTCCTCTCTGGGGCATAGGGTTCCTGGAAGGGTGGTTTCACTTGTTTTGAAGACTTATGCCCCAGATATACAGCACTGCTCCTGCAGTCATAATGGACTTCCCTGCTCCACTGATAACAAGTAGAGTATGTTTAATTTTTGAACCCTTATTTCCTGGGAAGTTTTTGTTACATCGGAAAAAATAAGCCCAAACCAAGCTAGTGTTACATAGTAACTTAAGGAAACAAACAGTCAATTTCCTGCAAAACTTTTAAACAGAACAGTGATCTTGGCCAGTCATGTTCAATGTTTTCATTCAAACCAGCTTGACCTGCCACCATATACAGTAAAGTACAGCCTGTAGTAAGACTATACACCTACTACTATACCATAATACAAACACAATGCCTAAGTGCTGAACATGTCCACACACACACTGCTGATAGGTATTGTTGTTGATACTTGTAGTTTGTATTGACCTGAAGAGAGACAAATCTAGCCCTATTTTATTTATTGTTATTCTGTTTCATACTGATAAAAACTTTCATAAAATTTTGCGTGCAGTTATCATTATTATGCTTGTTTAATTTGTAGATTTTCCCACTTTTCTCATGGTAGCCAGGCCTTCCGTATTTCCTAGACTCCATTGATGTTGTGTCTGTCTAATGCAGGCCTTGACAAATCCTGGTCACCATGGTGACTAAAAATTTATCATGGTGCCTAGTATTTTCTCCCATTTTATTCGTTCTTAGGACTGTGCTAAATTGCACTCGAATCTAGAACAGTTCTGGACTCTTGGAAGTCCCAAATTGAACTTTGTAGGATTTTAATGATGGATTCAGCACTTTGTGTTTTTCAGGAATGAAATGCTGCAGTTGCACAACATATTACTAGTTTTGGACCATTTTGTTTTTCTTCTTTCTCTCAATTCAACCAGTTAAAAAATTGTGGATAATACAAACAGTAAGATTTTTTCACTATATTCAAGTTTCTTGTTTTAAATTGTAATCTTTTTACTGTCGTTTGATCACATTATCATGAAAAATTATAAAAGTTGCCACAGTCATAAAAATAAAAGCCAAGTGTCGGTCAATCAGTTGGTCATGCTCGATTTCTCTGAATTTCGTGAGTTACAGTTCCACTTTTTTCCTGGCTTTTTGACCGTGGGTCTTCGGTCTCCTCGCTTTCTGGATATTGGGTGATCTTATCCCATACCTTTCATTTTTCCTGACACAGTAAAGTTTTTGCTTTCCCAGTCCTTACCATGCTCATGCATTCCTTCCTTTATGGTGGGGAGGTGATGCATGATGATTTGCATTAGAAACATATTGGAATCTTGCAATTCCAATAGGGGGAAGCAGAAGTCTTGTGGCATGCTTAAAGAAAAAGTTCACATATAGAGGGTAGCACTGAACGAGAATAGTTAATCTTGTGAGAAGAAGTAAGTACCTATTGGAAATGCATTTTCAGTAGAGGAAAATTGTTACATTAAGTACATATTAACTTCTCATATAAATATGTATATTCAAGCAAGGAGAATATTATAGCTTAAAAAGTTCCTCCTTGGTTATTCTATGTCAACTCAATATTGCATTGTGTTTTAGCATCAGCATCTCAGATTCAGTTCATATATGAATGGGACTTTATACAGAGACAAGCACACAATTTTTCAGGTTATGATCACTATTACTAATAAAGTTACAGTCTTCCAATGATGGGGGGGGGGGGTAGTGAGAGAGATTCAAAGTTTTACAGGCTATCTGGTCACAGATTTGTATTTTTAACAGCTTATTGAGAGTATGTTTCTATGGAGCAGCACTAATCTGACTTCCTATTCAATGATGTTATCAAAACCCCCTCTTACTGCAGGCAGTTGTCTCACCCACAATAGCTTCAGGATTATAGTGCAATTTTTCCAATTCCTGTTCTCAAGACATGGGAACTTTCAGTGGGCATTTGTGTGGACAGCTCTCAAGTGCTGGTTTTTTTAGTTGTTTAGTTAGCTTCATTTGTCATTTCAGATCCTGCCAGTCCAGTCTTGGTGGCAACACTGCCTGGAAGTTCTGGAACATTTGTGGTTCATCAGTGTTGCCATAGGTTATATCATAGTCTTAAGACTAGTTTCTAGGATCAAAGATTTTTAGTTTTGTGAACAGATCTTCCAAGATATCTGCAATTAATGGCTGGAGTAAAAAGTTCCAAGTCTTGTTTTTCAAAGCTTCAGAAATGAAATTTGGTACAGGAGTTTTCACTTGTTGTCCCTTATGTCATATCTTGAACATTTTGTAAAGGACTTTGTTAATGTTGGTGCTAGAGTGTCCTTCAATAATGTGATCATGATCTGGACTAAATCAACTTTGCCAATAAACATTGGTAAGGTCATATAATATCATTGAACAGTGACAGTCATTACAAGTGCTGGTCAAAACTAGCATGTAACTAATAATATAAATTTACTTTTGACTGAAATTGCTATCTACTTTTTTGTTAATACAGTTAAATTTTTAATGTTCTTTCGTATGCCCTGTGTTTTCACTTGTGCCTTCTTGTACAAAATAATGCATTTTAGTTTCTCTTGTGCTCAGTGTCTGTGAATCTAGTAGGTCCATTTGCCCTCTCAGGCTTCAAGAACTGCTCTTAAATCACTTCAGCTACTTCCTAAGCTGATGATTCCTTTTGTTTGATCCATGGTATAAAACAGATAGTGATGAGATACTATCACATTGTTCATGTAAGTTCCCCTAGCAAAGTCTTTGACAGAACATAAATCTGTGTGAATCGCAGCAATAATTGGTACATTTGCAGTTAGTTTCAAAGCCACACCAAATCTTTGTTCCATAACTACTGAGGCACCATAACATTCATTTTATTTCCATGATTGTGGATTGAAATCATATCCAGCCATAGAGGAGTCAAATGTTTACAGTCTCCCCCCCCTCCTCCTCAGCTCTCCATTTATCAAGTGTAACACAGTCATAAAAAGATTTTTAGGTTTTTAGTTTTGCAGTGCTCTTGCATAAACCAACTGCTCTACACAGCGTGGTCACAAGTAAATAGACACCACCTTTTCAGAAAAAATGAAATTTTTCAGGCATATTCACATGAATTGATATATTTATAATTTAATATCTAGTAGCTCTTCCTTTTGCTTCATGGAGTTCGTTGATCTATTGGGGCATCATG